CTGCTTGCCTCTCATTAAATCTATATTGCATTCAAAATCAACCCTCTATTTATTTTTTTCATTATAATTCATGCTTTCAAGCAATCTTTTGGGTAACTCAGCTATAGCCCTGAGACATCTGTGAGTGTCCTGCAGGAAAATCAGGTAATTTTATTACTCTACAGCTTTGTGTTTGGGGCGGGAAGGAATCTAAATTTTGCACCACATCCTTTTGTATTTAGCAGTGGTGTCACTTGGCATAGAATCAATTTGGTAAATCTGTTGATGCCACGAAATATGACCTGATGGTAGACGCGCTTCTCTTGAAAACAGGAATGCACAATATCAGATTTAGTTAATTTTAAAGGAATAATTCGTTCACACAAAGGGCTCTGGTTTCTAGATTTTTCTTAAGGAAACATGGAATATTTCAATTTGCATGCACACATGCCCTTCGGCGCTCTCTTGTTTTAGTGCTCCCTGCTCCTCTTAATTGCTGTGAAGATACTTTCCCGTAACAACGTGACTCATCCTTGCGAGTGTTGTTGGGCTACTCTGCCGACCAACACGAAGGACGTGGATGTGTTTGTGGAAGGCCTAAGTGTGAATAAGAGAAAAGACAAAAACAAAGTCGTCATCTTACGGTGTAACAAAGACTGAGATTAATTTTAGGGAAAAAATCCACCCTGACTTCCTAACTGCAGGATATTCATGTGTGGACAGATCTCAAAGTGAGACAATGGAATCCCAGTGCTGGGACTCTTTTAAGAACAGCTTAGGGAAATTTTTTCCAGGAATAATTCAGCAGAGTTTCTAAGTAGGGCAACCTCACCAGTTCTTTTCCACAATGATTTCCTGTAAGTCTTTTTTTTTTCCCCAAATAATACATTTATTTTTAAGCTCTTGCCATTTCTCAGCACTGTTTTTGCAGAATGTTCCCCATCTTGAGCAGTTCATATTCCTTCAGTTTACCTCTACAAAACAGCATTTGCTATTCCACCAGTGTGAAGTCTGAAATCCTTTACTAACAGTGATTGGACGGTTACTTCCTCACTAACGACTGTCTACATGTAAATAAACCCATTCATGTAAGATAATAAATGCACATCATACGCTCCCTCAAAAGCTCCCTCTGGAGCTGCTCTGGGTAAGCTCATGGCAGGAGGGTGAGAACAGCTCTTCCCACAGCCCTGCTCCTGCCATGGGGCTTCATGGGAAATGCCTCTGAGTCAGAAACACAGCAAAGGATGAACAGAAGAAACTGGAAATGCCTCTTAGGCAGCCAAAAATGGGGAAAAACTAAGGGAGGATGCTGTCATGTGAGCTGAGCCTTAGCAAGAGTCCAGGAAGAGTCCTGGCAAAACTTGCCTGGCAGGGGTTGATGTCGCTGAAAGGAGCTGGAGATGATGTCAGTCCCTCTGCACTTCTCCAAAGCTGCCAGAGGCCTCTAAGAACAATTCAAATCCTCTCTCATCTTGCCTGCGTTAGTTCCAGAGTGGTGCCTCAAAGTTGCACAGCTCTGACCGGGCAGCAGTTCTGGTTGCCGCCACGATGTTGGGACGTGCCAGCCCAAACAAAGTGTACATGCACACTTGGAGCAGTTTCTGGGCTCATTTTCACTCCCTCATTTCCGTCCACATACAATAATTTTTGCTTATTATCGTCGCGACTCTGATGCTATCAATTATCTCTGGGAGCAGAGTGATTTTGGAGGATCCTCTAGGCAAGAGCGCTTATTGCAAATGTTCCAAGGAAATGCTTTCAGATAGTTTTGCAAACACCCACTAATGTTTTGTATATGCAAAGTGTTGTGGTGTCATGTTGTTAATAACAGGCTGCCAGTATTAAAACCCACAGGACTGAATCATAGCGTCACTTTAAAATATATATGTCAGGGCCACCCACGTGATTCTCTGAGTCAGGCAATGACAAACACCTTGGGAATTTGGATCCCTTTAGTTTGGGTTTTTTTTTTATTAAAAGACAGCTCTGCATTTGTTATCTTAATCATACTATTTCAAACAAGTTGGCCAAATATTCACCTTTCCAAATCAGGGCATATTTGCTGATGTAAATAGTATTTTATCACCTGAGGGGGCTGGCTCTGTGCTTCAGCCACGGCATGAACTGCTGCTTCATCACAGCAGGTCAAGCGGGGCAAGAATCAGTATCGCAATGCCTAGTCCCCTGTATCGCTGAACCCTTCCCGAGCAATCTTAAATAAATCAGTTGCTTCTCTTCTCCCTGCCCCATTTCGTATGTTAAATGGGGAATGACCAGCTTTGCCAGCACATTGCTTACGTACCTGGAGTATCCCGCAGCGCTCTTGTCCACGCTCATAAGCATTTTTCTGATGCAGCCATGACCATAACCACTGGGAAAGGGAACAGGGATATGGTGATCTATTCCAAACCAGACTGAGCAATTCCTAGAGCCCTCCCACCATCCCGCTTGAACAAAAATGAGCTTTCTCCACTTACATTTCTTCCCGGGCTTGGCCAGGAATCATACTGCAGTGGAGGAGAACTCTCATGCTAAACTGGGGTCTACGGCCACCATGTTCAAGTCTTCTTTGCTTGGAAGAGACTTGAACATCTAACGAGGAGCCAGGCCACCGTGGAGGTGCTGTGCTCTGCTAGGAGTGTCCCTCCAAGGTGATCCTGACACTACAGTCATGTAGTGACTACAGTTTCTGTAAACACGTCCTAACAAGCTTTAAACTAGCAAGCACACTTAACAACTAATGCTAGGTTAGGCTCTTATGCATTCTTGGAGGTCATGATGTTAAGCAAGGAAAACAAACCCCTGTTTTCTAAGGAACTGCGAGGACGAGTCCTGCGGAGCCTCCGAGGAGCTGCAGCTCAGACAGGGCTTCCCTGCAAGCCAGAGTCCGGTCCTGCGGCTGCCTCTCTGCTGTCAGGGCTGCAAGAACAGGTAGGATACTTCAAGCCGTGAAATGAAAGGGTTGCAAGAATGGGTTGGATGCTTAAAAGTGTGAAATGAAAGGAATCTGGGGAAGGGACAGCACATGTCACGTGCCGGTGAGAATAGGGTAATCAACCCAAACAGTCAGCAAAACAATTACTGTAATTAGACGTCGAATTTTGTTTGGGGAGTAATGGAGCCTAATGCACAAATATGACGTTATTTTCTTGCATCAGCCTGGTGGTCCAGGAAGGTATATAAAACCATTCATGATTCAGAAGCCTTCCAGCACATTCTCTTGACTTCTCCTCGGCGAACTGAGTAAGTTGGATTCTGCTATAACTTCTTCTTCCTAAAGAAAACAAAGAAGTATCATTTTTGAAATCTTTGCATTGACTTCAGGGATGAATTTTGGATTAATATTCTGCAATTCTGTACACATTAATGTGTTTGGTTTCATGAAAGATTCATTCGCTAGTTATTCATTCAGAGGCACTGCTGGATTGCGGTTTTAAAATACATTTGAAATCTGGGTAATATTAAAGACATCTCCTTCCATTGTATTATGGAAATGTAATGCATATAGCCTTTAGGTAGCCTTAAAATATCTTAGCCAGCAGTTTACGTTTGGCAGTGTTGTTCTAGCCTTGTGTCAATTTTTATCTTGTTTTGGACAGAGGTATCATGTAAATATTGAGATAAGCTATATAAATATTGAGATAGTGAGTTACCTGCAGTCGCTTTTCAAACTGGAGCCAGCTCTTGGAATATGACATCTGTGGATGTGACCCTACAAGGTTCCTGGTCTGACTTTGGAAATGTCCCAAAAAATGTCTAAGTAAGGCATATATTCCTTAGGAAGTTGCTTTGGGTGGTTTTGTTCTGTTTATGCAAAGCTGTGGTCTTATGCAAAACATTCAACAGGCTGTCTACGAATGTGTTATCCATATATATTATATACATTACATAACTATTTTATACTCCATGTTATGTGTTCGGATCAATTCTTCAGCTGTCCATTCTCTCTGGTTTTCTTTCCGCCGAGGGATTTGCAGATCGAATCAAGAACATAGAAATAACAGATGTAGTAGGAAAAAAGAGTGGGGAACCTGATGATAGTGCTTGGATTAGGGTTTAAGGTCAGGGGAAGTTTAGGTGAATAAAGGGTATTTTGGCATTCTGTCTAAAACAACAAAAGGAAAAAAAAATCCAAGAAAAAGAACTTGAGTCAAAGTGAGGCCCAGCCAGGCTTTTCTACTATGCAGCTCAGTCTGACAAAAAGCAAGTAATCACCTTGGCTGAAACCAAAATATTCCATTTAATCTGAAACAAGAGTTTAACTGGCTCCTTCGTTTGGTGCTTTGATTTGGAATTTGGATAAGCTTGAAATGACATCGCAAAATGTGGTTTTGTGCCTTTCTCCAGATTACCTCCCCACCCTTTAAAATATTTCATGAGAAAGGAAGAAGGTGTAGAATTCAGGTTTGTGAACAGTTTTACACCCTCTGAAATTTAAATTCAGGAGACTTTCTTCCAGGTTTTCACTGTGCTTCTGCTTTTTCCTTGCAAAAGACTCTTATTTGTTCAATTTTCCAAGTGAGCTTGATACTAAATATGCTGTATTCAAGCCACTGTGCTAAAACCATAGCATTTGGTGTCCTTATGGGATCAACTCCCTCATGTACAACACAAGGATTATATAACTCTTTCTGCTCAGCCTAGAGAATGTGTAAATTCGGCACAGTGAAAACTTACCTGTGTTTTCCATTTCTGCAAAGCTTGGTGTTGTGTTATCCTAATTTTAATGAGCTCTACCTCGGGAGTCCAAATTACAGAGAAGGAAGCAGACATTATTTAAGCAGCAGCAGCCCCAGACAGGTTGTTTGCTGTCTGCAGGGAGGAGCTGGGCTTTGAAAGGCCACAGAGAAGAGCAAAAAAAACCAGAGCAGGACGGGTATCGATGTATCTACCCACTCTTCAGGGCTCACCTTAGCTTAGTCCAAGTGCTGAGCCCATCCTACCAGCTCCTTTCATTCTCTGTTTGCTCTTTCCCACACCTTGCAGGCGTACGGCACGGCTAAAAGATGTCCTGTGAGAAAACCGTGTGCGCTGAGCCGTGCTCTGCCCCGTGCGGCCCCGAGCCCCGCGCGGCTGCCTGCAACGAGCCCTGCGTCATCGCCTGCCCGGACTCCCGAGTCATCATATTCCCACCTCCCGTGGTGGTGACCTTCCCAGGACCCATCCTCACCACCTACCCACAGGAAACCGTCGTGGGCTCCACGGAGTCAGCCGAGCTGGCTGGCGCCTTAGAGGCTGGCGTGGCAATTGGTTCGGGTCAGAAGGGTGTTGAGTGCCTGGAGCCCTGCGTTGACCGGTGTGCCCCGAAGATCGTGACGAAGTGCGAGCCCCAGTGTGCTCCTCAGTGTGCTCCTGCATGTGTAACCCAGTGTGTTCCTCAGTGTGCTCCACCGTGTCCTCCTCCATGCCCTCCTCCATGTCCTCCTCCATGCCCTCCTCCATGTCCTCCTCCATGTGCCACTAAGTGTGCTCCACCGTGTCCCCCTCCGTGTGCTCCCCAGTGCGTGCCAGAGTGCTCCTACACCTATTCCACCCGCTGGAAGCATCCTTGCCAGAGGGGTTTCTGTAAGAAGATCTAACCAGCTTAAACGAAAGAATAGTCACGAGAAAAGTACAATCAAAGAAGTGAAAGAATACGGCACGTGATTTACAGGCATGGCTACCAGAGAAGGAAGTGGCCCTGAAAACCAGGACCCTGCATTTGATTCCTATCTAGTGCTTTAGCTTAGATTAATGCTCTCTTTATTCTTGTGGCTTTGCATCTTACGTCTGCGCTTTTAACTTTCTCTACCCAGTTTGACATTGAACTTGGTCTCAAAACAAAGCACATGTAGGGATTTGAATGTCGGATTTAGAGAGAGTGAGGGAAGTCGATGGAACGCGTCACACTGGAATGGGTAATTGGTTTTAGCTTTTCTTGTCTCTAGAAATACGCTCTTTCTAGTCTGCACGATTCTTTCTGCAAATGTTTACTCCACTTTGCATTTACATTAAAATGCTGCTGCATCAACCAGTTTGCCTTCTGAATCTCCTTTTTCTTCTGCTACTTATTTGCAATTCTCTCTTGGTGACACTCAGCCTTGTATAGAGGAACAGAAGATGGCCTTGAACTCCTAGACTGCTCAGAACGTGATGCACAGGTAAAATGAAGGAGTCGGTTCTGCTCTGCAGACCCACCTGCAAAAATGAGGTGCTAGTCATATAACCCAGGCTGCAGTTAGGAAACAAGGGAGCAGAGGTCCTACGCATAGAGATCCTGAAGTTTCTAGGTCTAGATTATGGCAGAATGTATGTTTTTAGAGTGTTCTAACCCGTAGCCTGTCCTATTTGAAGGCCTTCTTTTCCATAAACTGAGCCAGATTCAAGCTATTCTTCCCATTTCTGCATCAAAACTTTTCCAGTCTGCTTTTGCAAAGAAGTCTTTCTCCCATGTAAGCCTTAAGAGTCATGTGTGGAGCTGGAACACCAGTTGCTGACTTGCTCCTGGTTGTCCCGGTCAAAGCCCCAGGGACCTATGTCTGCCTGGTTGGTGCCAGCAGTGGATCCCTCCAGGCAGACGCCGTTGAGGACATCAGGTGTGTCCTGCTCACGCCAAGCAATTTCAGATGCTGTTTTTATACTAGAGGTGGTGTTGCTTTCATTCTTCCATACATGTATTTGCTAATTTAATTCACGGTCTTTTGGTGCCGAGGACATACCGTGTCATTCTTACAATTATACCCACCTAGAAATATCCCAAGACTTCCGCAGAACAAAGGGAGTCAGGCTGCTTCACAAACACACACTGATGTATTACACATGTAAAGTGGTATGTTAATATAATGTTAATGATATATTATTTGGGATACATTCCACAAGACTCTGTAATAACTGATCTGGAAAAAAAAAAGGTCATGATTTCACACACGTTTTATCTCCAGATATTCTCAGGATATATTTTTTTTCTAGTAAACTGATTATTTTCACTATAAAGTTGCTTTTCTTTTCTTTCATGATAATACTTTTAATGGCATAGGGCTGTGTCCAGCAAGCCCAAGTTTAAGAGAGGGGATCATGAAATCCACTTGGACCCCTCAGCACAGTAGTTCCAGAAGTGCAAGTTCACTTCTGAGATGACCATATTTTAAAAATTGTTTGTTTGGTTTTTGAAAAAAGCAGTTTTTACCCCTCTATTGAGTTTGGTCATTCAAAGGGTTAAAAATCCAAGAGCCTATGGGTTTTTATTAGGGAAACCACTGAGAACCCTGGCAAGCTCCAAGCTATCAGGCTAGAAAAAATTAATGCTATGCATTCACAACAAGAAATACTGTCCCCCCAGCTCCCCACTGCAAATCCAACCTATGCTAGAGGTTAAATAAAATGGATTATTTGAGGAGAGAGGTAAACACAGGAAAACAGGAAAACCTGAGCGAAAAACCAGCACCAGATGAACCACGAAAGGTACCGTTGTGAAGATGCTGGGCCATGAGCCCGTCTTCCAATGGCTGGGAAGGTCAGGGCAATTATTAACTGTCTCCATCAGAGGATTTGGAGGTCCCTCTTTTTCCCAGCTCCCTTCTCAGCCTGAGAGACATGTTCTGGGGCAGCTGGTCCCTGCTGAGAGCACAGAATGATCTTGGCGGTGCTGTTGGACCCAGCTGGGATGTAGGTCTGGTCACCCAGCTGGGGCTGCTGCCCTCCTGTGGCATTGGCTCTGGCTCACTCCAACCCCGAGGTGAAGGCGACTCAGCAAGGACTTCAAAATCTTCCTGCAAGTCTAAGTGCATGCTCCAGGCAAGTCTAAGTATATTCTCCTGGCCACAGCTGTCATGAACCAGCCATTAAAGTGGCCTGAGCTGGTGTCTGTGCCAATCGTATACCCAGGAGACCTGTTGATGTGCCACGGCCTTTGCAAAGTCTTCATCAATGCCTGCTCGTGAAGATCAGCCCAGCGCTGAGCTTGCATCAGTCCCTTCCCTTAATCTCTTTTTCTGTTTACACCGTGAGACAGCTCCAAGTTGGCTGCCAATAACTTTCCTGGCTGTTTCGCTTTTCGTCACTTTTTGCCATCGCAAATATTTGATGGAAAGCGGGTGACGATTATGTCACATTTTACAGCAAACATAATTGCTGCCCTAAAGCTAAAGGACTTGTTTCCATGGAGAAGCTTGGATTAGACTCTGTTGCTATCTTCTGAAACACTTAACATCAATGATAGTATTTCCTAAAACCACAGCTAAGTTTTAACGTTAGTCTGCTCTGATATAAATGAAATAACAGATAGTTTTGGCCTGGTAGGAAGAAATAACTAGACAAGAAAAGAAAAAAAAAATCATTGGGAGTGACTGATTCGTATTTACAGTTGAGGTAGGGGCAGACAGTAAGCGACAACCTTTTAAGAAACTGAATAAATATGAAATCTTCGGAAAGTCTTTGCCCTGTGGAGCTGTGTGGGGCCCCACAAAACCCCTACAGGGTGAGTGCAGAAGCCTTCACCTTCCTGTCACTCTTCTTCAGGGTTACCTGGCTCTGAGCAATGCCCTTGCTTACCCGTGCCCAGGGTTATTCTTTAGAACAGCTATAATAAAATGCACCACAATGGCCAATGCTGTGAAAGTATTAAGAAGATTGACAAGTGTCAACAGGTATTCCATTCTGAACAAGCAAGAGTTTCAATGCGGTTAGGAATGTTTCACCACACATTTGGGCAAGCGCGGTGCTCACGGTGCCGTATCCCTCATCAAGATTTAATCTTTGCACATGAATCAGCCCTTTGAGTCTTCAAGGCAACATTCTTTAGTTTCCAAAACTTGAGTCAGTAAGACATGCCAATAAATCTAGAGATTATTTTCTGCAAAGGTAATGCATAAGAGGTAGATCCTCCCATGTTGCAAGTCACTATTCCCTCCCTGTAACAATTCTAGGCCAGCCTACAATATTCAATTATCAGGCTCGAGTGGCATAAGTAATAGATGAATCCAAAAAACAAGAAAAGCTAGACAAACCTAACTTGAAAGAATTTCAAACATGCACATTCGGAGCTGAACACCAACCAACAGGATTTCTAACCACAACACATCTCATACATGCAGACCGAAGCCTGTTTGTAGATGGAGAAGAAGTCATGGTGTAATTCATGTGAGAAGTCAGGGTGGTGACGTTTGCACTTCACTGGAAGGGGTCAGGACGGAGCACTGTGCCCTGGAATTACTCATCACTCTGCACTTAATCCACTCATGTTTTTCTCTTTGTTGACTCCTTTGCTGCCAGTTTGTCAGAAGAAGCTATAGATTATGGTGAGTCACTACGGAGATCCCTGGAGCAATAACTTGGGAGAGCCTTGGGCTTGTGCAGAACAGGCATTTTGGGAGGTGTTAACAATGGTGGTTCTCCGACTGCAGTGATGCACGAGGCTATTACCATCCTGGCAATTGCTGGAGTAAAACATCCCAGCATTGACTAATCATTCCTCTCTAAAACGTAACCCTGGTGAAGTTTCCTCAAGGAGGTTAAGGCTGAAAGTCTAAGAATTGATGGTCACCTTGTCAGTTAAACCAAAACTCTTTGGCTTGAGGGCTTTTCTTCCAACTCTGTGATTCCAAGCCCTGCAGAACCACGCAGAGAGACTGTGGCTGTGGCCAGGAGCCAGCACTGGGAGAAGCTGCACTGCACAGAGCTGCTGCCTGGAGAATGCTCTGACGTTGTACTTGGCTTTTGTCTAGCACTCATGGGAGGGTTGTGCCAACCTGAGTTTCCCCTGACAGCACTCGGCAAGCCACCATTGAAGCTGCTGGAAACTCACCCCTAAAGTTTTATTTTCATGCTATAAATAATTCATTTGTTATTGCTGCTAACTCATAAGTGCTGGAGACCAAACCACTGACCAAAGGAAACAGGACTGCTGAACGCAAATGCTAGTGAAGGCACAGCTAACGCTGTTAGAGTCAGCTTTAAAAGGATTAACATAAGCATTGTTTCTTAACAGCCACCACTGTTCTTGCACCTGTTGTTAAATATGACTATCACTACTGGTTCTATAAATCTGTCTCCTGCAGTTCTGCATGCTATTATTTTATGCTTATACGGTAAACCCCTCAAGACAGGCGATGTCTCATGGCCTGCGTTTGTGCAGTATCTGTCCCTTTAGGGTATCCAATATAACTGGAGCATCTAACAATTACTGGAGTTTAAAGGCTACATAATAAGATAACGAGTGTTTAGGTGCTAATCTGGAGTTTTCTGGTGATTCTACAGAAGGATGTCAACCACGACGAAGAGCGATCGGGAATTCGGTCCCTCCCATCCGTTATTTTCACTAATTTATCATTACAGCTCCTTGCTGCATGTTTCAGGCTTATAGAGACTCAGATGCCCATGTCCTAGAGAAGACTTTCAGTGCCAAGTGAGAAAAAATGCAGGAGTGAGTTGCTTTAGGCACCAAACTTAGGGCTAAACCAGCCACCTAGACTCCCTCTGTGGTCCAGAGAAAAGGATGTTTTGGGACCTCCCATCACTGGCTGCTCTTCTGTGTTTTTGGAGGAATATCTCACTCTCTCCACTGGTTGCAAGAGACAATTTTTAGTCAAGTTGACGGGTTTCAGGTCAACGTGGCACAGATCTCTTGAAGCTTCTGCCCTTGCAGAAATCTCTGCCTGATGCAGTGGATGGTTTGGTTACTTTTTTTTTAATTTCTCAGGTGATCGCTGCAGGAATGAGCCCAGGGCAGTAGCTGACCAACTTAAGTGCTTATAATTGTCGATGTTAACATCCTTCTAACACGACATGTGCTATCTCACCATCCTCATCTATTTTGAGGCTGGCTGAAGCCGGCACCCCCATGGGATAAAGAGGAATAAACCCACAGTTGGCTTGGATTGCAAAAAATTACAGATGCTCACAGAGGTTTTGGTTGTGGTGACCACGGTGATGAAGGTCTTGGCAGAGACCTTCCATTCTCCTTGCTGCAATTCATTCCTCTCTTTTGCTTGTTTACACACTTGACAATTTAAGCCCTGTCCTTTGCGGCATAGATTATGCTTAAATTATGTGGGTTGGCTATGAGGAAGCTCTAGGCAACACTCATCGGGGTTGTTCTAATTTTTTCCACAAAATAAAGGACTTCAAAGCACCTCTGTGTGATTAACATGTGGCAGATACAGAGTTCTACTGTAATAGGATTAATGACATGTTGCTGCAGTTTTAGGGCTTGATAATGAGTAATAGTTTCCTTTAAAACATGATCTTATCATCCTCCTAAGCAGACCCTTCATAGCTCTGCGGGTCGAGGTTATTTTCTTTGCCATAGAAGACCATTTTTTTCTCTGCTATATTAAATTCAGTCTTAAATTTATGAATCTACTTGCCTTTATATGGTGTCAGTTTACTCTATCCCTTGAAAAGATACCCAAGAGGATTACCTTACATAAAAGCTGGGCTTATGTGGTTTAAAAAATTTTGAAAACCAGCCTTGTAGTGCACTAAATTAAACTCTCCTAATTAAATACATACAGTACAAATTATATGAGCCCTCCTCCCCCAGTGATAACTTTGCTTGTTATTTCATTGGTAAAGAAGTTATAACTCGCCATAGAAATGGAGATTTTTGGTTGGTCGCCAGCTCTGCGTAAACCTGGAAAATTTGATTTTCTTCAACGGGTTTACCAAGGAATCCAACCCGAATTTTTCAAAATCTGAGGAATTTTGCACGCTTTCTTTGAAAAGAGAGGTTTTGTGTTCTCAGCTGCAACCAGTGACAAGGAAGAAGCCCAAGTCGGTTGTCAAATGTGTACCGCACTGTGTGGGGCCCAGAACTGACAACCAGGCCTAAGAACGATAATTACAGCAGTTGGTGGAACGATTCAAGCCACAACATCCGATTTGCAAGTAAACGAGATAATCGCCAACAAATAGGTCTTTTAGCCTCCAGGCAGTTGGAGGAATTGTATAAAAGCACTTGCCGCTCAAGGCTCTGTACTTGCTTCTCCACGCTTTCTCTCTTCAGTGGATCAGGTAAGTCTGATTTGCCTTTTTCTTTTGACTGTTGTATCTTTAGTTTTATGTTAAAGCTTTGTAACTCTTAGAATGTTACAGCTGTAAACAAGTCTCTACTGCAAACTGTTGGGGGCTTTGACAGATGTGGATTTGGGGAGGTCAGGCAGGCCTTCGAGACCCCTGTGGGTTTTTGAGTATGTGGGGGATTATATTCTCTCTACTTTGTAAAGTCTCCCTCTAGAAATAGCCTGAACGTGAAGATTATGTTTTAGGGGGGTTATTTAGATTCTCATCTAACCGAGTGCTCATTCTTTCACGCGCAACTATAGAGGTTTAAAATTTAACCCTTTTTCTCATTTCATGCACACAGAAATTCACGTCTGCTCTGTGCGTGGGTGCACTGGAGCCGTGCACCCATCGCCAGAAATGGGGTGTCAGTCTGATCTCTCCCTTTTGTTCCAGGCTTATCCACTTCCCAGCGCAATGTCTTACTGCAGAGACCTGTGCGTGCCATACAGCAGCCCATGCGAGGTGACCTGTCCTCAGCCCTTGGCCAACACCTGCAACGATGTGTGTGTGACGTCCTGTGACGACTCCAGAGCTGTCGTTTACCCACCACCAGTGGTCCTGACTTTCCCAGGACCGGTTCTCACCTCTTGCCCCCAGGAAAGCGTCGTGGGCAGCTGTGAACCACTTGGCCTAGCACGTCCTGGGAGCTGTCTTGGTTACGGGGGCTATGGAAGTGGTGCTGGTCTAAGGGGCTCCATCCTTTTTGGGGGCTCAAATGGTTATGGGGGTGCATGCAATTACAACAGGTCTTACAATTCTGGATGCTCCTCACTGGGAAGAGGAACGTGTAGCCCCTACTCTTACCGCCGGTGCAGCACCTACGGCCGAGGAAACTGTGGGCCTTGCTAAATACTTCCTGGGAGTTCACCGCCCAGAGCAACAAGGATGTGGAGAACACGGCAGAAAATCACAGATGGAAAACGGAATCTGAGCCTGAGCAGAGCTGAGAACTCATTGCTCTGACTGAAGCCAGCAGGAGCCGTGAGCTCTCAGCAGTGCCCAGAAAAATAAGGCATTATAGGTAGAGCTGGGTAGACTGACTATATGCCCATGAAAAAAAGACAAAAGATTTGGCCAGGGTCTAGAAAAGAAAAATAATTTTCCAAGGAAGTAGGAAAAAAATTCACCTGAAAGAGTTCCTTTTAAAATCTCAACTTTTAAACATTAAATCAGAGTAAAAATGATTATTTTTAGAGAGCTGTCAAACAGTTCAGAATGTTTTAAACCACTTTTCCATTTCAAGACTCTTATTTTTCTCCCCATTTAGATTCAGCTAAAAAATTTCATTGCCCTAAAGCTCCATAGTGAAGCAAAGTTGCAATTTGTTAAAAAAAAATGTAACCAGCTCAGCCTATAAGCATATTTTCCATTTAACGCTTTACGCTTTTGGCATCTCCTATTTCTACTTTCCTGCCTATGTATTTATTGCACTGTTCCTGGGCAGAGGCTGGATGTCCAATTACAAAAAAATGTCTGTGCACTACAAGTATTAGAGTGTCCTCAATACCCTTGAGGTTAAATGATGTTCAGTTTAACCTGTTGCAGGAATCTCTGCTTTGTTTGGTGACCTCCTACAGCACAAGAGTAATGGAAACCTCCTTTGCCTCACTGTGTCTGCATTAAAATGGATATATTATAAAGCAGTAAAAATAGAACTTGTCTAATATCTGTAATAAGGAAAGCAGAAATTCTCATACCAAATGCACGACTTAATATCACAAACCTCATGACACAAATTGTCCTGACATGCCTATCTTTTTATTGCTTGTGTTATTGCAACTGTTCCCTCTGCTTCTCATGCCTATTAAAAGCCATATTGCACAGCATTGACCTTGTGTTCATCCCACCTCATTTTTTTACTTAAATCTGTTTTGATGAAAAAGCTTCTCCTCTTTCTCAGCTCCCTTGTTTCTCCTCTGGATGATACCATATGTCACCAAAAGGTTGGTCTCCTGCAGCCACAACTACTCGGTTGCTTTGGAAATAAGAGTTTTGGCCCTTGAGTTTTAGCGAAAAGAGAATGCTCTGAAGAGCCAGAGAAAAACACAAAGAAAATGTAGACATCCTCCCACTTCATACCACTGCTTTCACACCGTTTGGGGCCAGCTCCATGCAGAAACTGAAGCTGGGGCAAAAATGGAAATCTATTCCTAACAGTGGTATTTGCAATTAGCAGAAGGCTTAAAGCTGCAAATGCGAATGGAGATACCGAGGGCGACTCCTTTCTCTTCTAGTGGGAGGGTGAAGACAACCTCTGAGGTTGTCCTTAAGAAAGATTTTAGGGATCGCCAACATCTTGTAGCTAAGTGGCCAACACACTAACAACTGCCAGAACACCTCGTCTTGGGTGTTGATCAACAGCAAAGAGGAGCCTGAGTCCCAAATGAGGAATCATTTTAGCATCATTGTCCAACAGCTTTAAGCTGAGGAGAAAACGAAACCAGAAGGCAAATGTTGCAATGCAATACAGACTTTAATTGAAACAGGACAAAGACTTCATTGCAGCAGAACATCAGAATCCAGAGAGGATGGAATACATTTGCAGGCTTTGCTGGGGGTGGATGTGGTTGTCTTCTTTGGGGGGCTGCAGTGGTCAGACGATCTGTTCCAGTTGCAACACTCGAGCCGAGTTTGGGTTTCACCTGTTTGTTTGGGGGTTTTGCTGTTGTCATTTTTGTCTTTTCTAAAATTCCAGGCTACGTGAAACAGGGTAGGTCCCACAATCAAATTAGAATCTTGAAAAGTTTTTCCACTATGCCTCAAAACCTGTGAAACATCAGTCCATATGGGATGACAGAACATACTGGATCTAATTTACATGCCTGTTTAATCTTCTATAAGGTACCTGAATTTAAGAAAACTAAGGCCCTTTTCTATATTTCTCGAGTAAACAGCCCCTCAACCACAGAGTCAGAATCTTAACAGATATCTAATCCAAGAGGAAGGGCTGAGATTTTTCTTCAGAGTGGTCCCCAAATCCCAAATACTACATCCCAGTATGCTGCCCCTCTGAAAGCCATGTCCCTATGCTCAGTCACAAACTGGAACTTTGCTCTTGTTCCTGCCAGTCCCAGCTCCACGGGGAATCCTTGGGGGGCTTAGCAGGGCCCACAGCTCCCACGACGGTAAGTCGTGTACCTGCGGGAATAGCAGGGGTAGGAGAACCTGCCACCCACGTAAGCACCGACCCCAAAGGAGCTCTGGGCATCCAAGGAGCTCCCGTAGCCGAAGGAGCTGCCTATCTCCAGGGGAGCTGAGGATCCAACAAAGGCATCCTGAGGGCAGGAGCTGAGGATGGGGCCCGGGAAGGTGATGACCACAGGAGGTGGTTGGACTATGGCGCGGGAGTCCCCGCAGGAGGTGACACAGGGCTGGTTCCAGGCATTGGCGTACGGCTGCGGGCAGGTCACCTCGCAGGGTGAGTAGTTGCAGACCTGTCTGTAGGAAGACATCCTCCCAGTTGGATTAGAGCCTGAAACACACAGGGTAGGGGAGCGCATGGGTCAGGGGGGACAGAACTGGTGTGTTTGCACAGAGGAGCTGTCATTTATTCAAGACACACAATATTCCAAAAGCTGCTTTTCTATTGCTAAGTCCCAAGTGTGATTGCAATCCGTATGCAGAAATAACAAAGGTAAAATAACCTGTTAGAAGTCAGTGAAGCCTCATTAATGGCAGATGAGGATTAACCTAGTACTATTTGTTTAAAACTGTTCCCAAAACTATCGTCCTCCTTTGCAAAGCGCTCCCAGCCACAGATAGAATCATTAAGACTTCTGAAATATGCATCTCTTGAAGACTCCTGCTTTTCATACAAATCCCACACCCTCCAAAGCCTGCCGAGCTGAAAGAAGTTACAGAATCTTTATGAAAAGAACATTCGCCCAATAATAGGCAAAGACTTATTCAGTGCTCAGACGTAAGTACATTAAAACTCTCAATAAAGAGGCTTTCAGACTCGAAGAACAGATTTAACCGACGTCTGACTTACTCAGTTCACCGCCAAGGAGAAGCCAAGAAGTGTGGTTTGAGAAGCTCTGCGCTCTGAGCTCTTTTATACCGTTCCTCAGCACGGCCCCAGGGTCTGAGCCACACTTCGGGCATGCAGTCCTTCCCAGTTACAAAACAAATTTTCCTGCGTTCGTCACGTCAGCGGGTGGAGGAATCTTTGCATATTGTTTGCTGTTAAGCAATTCTGAGTTGAACGGTATCGTATCCATGTTGCGGCCTCCGGAAATCTTTCATCTCAAAATAGGGGCAGTATTCACCCTTAGTTTCTTTCTATTCATTGCAGAAACTAACTTCCTTCTTCCATTTTTTCAAGATTCAAAGCACATCGCTCAGAGAAGAACTGCTGATTTGACAAAATATGCTTTTTTTTTTTTAAAAAAAAAAGAGTCATGGTTTGAATTTGTCATGCTTGGTGTAAAGGATTTCAAATCTTTTGGTTGCAAAGGGAGATGAAAATTAGAGACCTTTATACCACCTTTCTGCTCCCTATTACAGAGGCATTACTTTGTCTTGCTACTGAGCCTACTAGGGAAACTACAGCATGGAAAACAGAAAATAGCATCAGGTCTGGACCCAGTTTGAGGTGAAGATGTCCCGGTTAAGACTAAGTGGTCTGGATATTTCCAGCATAACTTTTGTGAAGAATTTTAGGAGTGGTTTTTAGATGCCCTCATCCTGCATGCATCAGGGATGCGAGGAGAACTCACCCTCTGCACTCTCCAGTGGGGACAAGAATCCTTCCTTTCACCATACCTAAAACTAGTTGGTTTTGTTTATCGGTTCCCAGCAGCAGTGACTATTACAGCTCTCTATTTTCTTAGTACCTGGGCGCCAACCTAGTTTACATAAGCTAAGAGATAATAGAATTATAATTACTTATAATAACGCTAACAAGTACAAGACATGCCTGAGATCTCCTCCCAGAGGCTCACTTAATTGCCAAGAGATGTTTGGTAAATTGTTCGGCTTCTGCCTTAATCATCTCTTCTAGAAATCATCAACAGTAATTCCTCATTTTGTGTGGGTGTTACACAGGCTTGCACGGAGCAATGTTTTACCTGCTGGGAAAAACACTCACACAAAACTGCAAAAAGGGAAAGGTTAACTTGCGGGCAGAAAAAAATCACATAAAAATTTGACTGCAGTGAGCACCCCAAGTCTAAATGAAATGAGTTTCATGGGCAAACCCCCAAATGGCCAGGATGTGCTGGAGCTGGAAGGCAAGAAGTGGAGAGTCCTCACACTGGACTCTCCAAGTCTTGAGACACATTCTCCTTGGTCCTGTGAAACACCTCTGGAATCCTTAAAAAACCCAGATGGATAATGGCGAGGGTTGCTCATGCAGCACTAATGCTCATCTATGTTGGGGCATCCTCTCAGAGGAATGGTGGAAAATCAAGGGATGGTGAAAGATGTCTATAATCCAGACACCTACTTTTTTTTTTAATTCTGTTTGCAAGATGGATACTACCCTGCGAGCAGTGACCAACTACACGTCTTGAAGATGCACACCGTGTATTACAAACCCAAGCTGCCATGACCCTTGGAGGTCTGAGGAGCGTGCAGGGCCAGTCACAAGTCCTGCTGCCAGAGAGAACACAGTAGAATGCTTTATACCCTGCTTTATACCCAACCGCTCATTTGTACAACACCTAAATGAATTAGGTAATTTCTATTGTTCATTTCTTGATGGGATTATTAAAAGACGGGTTAAACAATGTGCTTGGCCACACTTGTTGGCGCAGTGGGAGAGCTGGGAGGAGCACTGGACACACCAGGTCCTCATTCTTTTCTCTCCTGCACAGCCACTCTGAGTCAAGGATCACTGTTTGGAGAAATGTAAGAAAAAAACCCGGGAGGTTGTCCAGCTCCAAGGCACTGACACCCTAAATACACATCTCCAAGACATAATGGGAAGAAAAATTCCTGTCTACACAACAAGAAAGAAAAGCTCATTTGCAGGAAATTAAAGCTGTGCCATTGGTAGCCTCAAACATATCTGACACGGTCATTCTGGCATGTCTCCATCCAGAAAAATAATAGGACAGGGACGTAGTGGCTAACACAGGTTGCCGCAATTTAATCGTATTAGTTCTGCACTTCCTTTCCCAAATACAGTAACCGATACATGTTGATGTATGAAATCTTTAGGATTAGTAAAGGGTAATTGTTTACATCAAGGCTGATCACCACAACAATGCTTCTGCCTTGGTTCTAAGCCCAGTTACTTTAGCTGGAAGCTAGATCTTTATATTTCATATGTAGAAGTTAAGACCTGTCATTAAACAGGGAACAATCTAGTACCCTGTTTTGCTCAGCTCTGGGTATTGCAGAAGTATTTCCCATGATGGCAATTTGCAGCTAACAGTCCAATGCTGAAGATGGGCTTGAATTTAAAAAGAAAGATTTACCATTACTGTTTCCCAAATTCAGATTTTCTTTCACTGCAAGTGAATTGCTAGAAAATGCAAACTGAGATTAAACTGAAATAGCAACAAAGAATCAAACAGACTATGGTGGCTTTGAGCAAAGGTCTGAGCCTTCAGTCTCCAGCTCTGACTTAGTATTTGTAACACTGTGAAAAACAAGCAAACACAAAGCTCTGGCCAGCTCATACGTTAAGTTGCAAGACAGCAAAATAATTTGAAAAACTAATTTGCAGATTCATAGCAAAGTAAATCTTGTCCTCCCTCTGCTCACAGTAAAGTCAACAGACTTACAGTAAATGTGGAAATTGCTCCCCCTGTTTGACGTGCAAGAAGGCTACGAGCTATGATGTACATATAAAACCATCTGAGGTGGAGCTTCTCAGTTAACAGAAACAAGCTGCACAACAATTACCTTGACTGAGTGACATATAAAAAAAAAAAAACGCCACGTATTTGAGGGACAATGAGTACAAAGGAGGACAGGAATGGTTAATCTCCCCCAGGGCAAACTGAGAAACTGTATAAAATACACCTGTAGCCCAGAGATTTCAAACCACTTCTCTTCCAGTCTCACTTCTGCCATTCAGCCGAGTAAGTCATGTTCTGTGTGGGGCAGGGGAGGGTTTGAGCTAACCTGGCAGTTCAATTTTCTCCTAAGAAATTCAGGTAAGGAGTACTACATTAAGTTGTGAAACAGAGCAATAGGAAATAGAGTAAATAGAGTAAAATGCATTTAGTCTTTCTTGCCTTTAATTCTAAGCAGATTTACCTCTGGCGCTTGACCTCTGAACGTGTTCTTTTACTGTCACTGGCTTGAATAAATGCAAACACAAACGACCCATGCTCTCCCCTACCCTGTGTGTTTCAGGCTCTAATCCAACCAGGAGGATGTCTTCCTACAGACAGGTCTGCAGCTACAGCAGCTCCTCACCCTGCGAGGTGACCTGCCCGCAGCCGTACGCCAACGCCTGGAACGAGCCCTGCGTCACCTCCTGCGGGGACTCCCGTGCCGTGATCTACCCACCAGCCGTGGCCATCACCTTCCCGGGCCCCATCCTCAGCTCCTGCCCTCAGGAGAGCTTTGTGGGATCCTCAGCTCCCCTGGAGATAGGCAGCTCCTTCAGCTACGGGAGCTCCTTGGATGCCCAGAGCTCCTTTGGGGCCGGTGCTTACGTGGGTGGCAGGTTCTCCTACCCCCGCTATTCCCGTGGCTGTGGGATATACCGCCCTGTGAAGCCCTGGAAGGTTTCCCTGGATGGCAAAACCCAGCAGAAATAAGAGCAAATCCATAAGCTGTGAGTGAGGGCAGGGACATGGCTTTCAGAGAAGCAGCAAGAGTCCTCAGGAGGACTCTCATTCATCTGGAGCGACAAGCCCAGACTGCATTTCCCATTTGTATTAGATCTCTGTTCACTGTGTTCTGGCTCTGTGCTCAACCCCTTTTTGCTTTGCTTTCACGCAAGTTTAACCTAATTCCTCAGTATTTTCCCCTGCAGTATTGTTGTGGTCTGATACATCCCACTTGTCAGTTCCAATAAAATTCTTTCTGCATCACAACACCACGTCTCCTGCTTTTATTTATATCTGTAGCTCACTGATGCTAAAATAACCCACGATGACTAGTCTCTTGCATTAATTAAGGTGTTGAAAGGAAATCCCAGACTTTGAAACAGATCCTAAATATTTCATAGCCTCGGATGTTACCCAAGCACTGTGTTTTTTGCTGTGTTTGATGCAGCCTTGGGATCCAAAGGGAAATCTGATGCAGGCACACACATGGTGAACACCATCTCTGTCCCCTATTTCCTGCATTCTGATGGTGCAGCTGTAACTGCCTCTGTGAGCACGATGAGATTTTGACTTCTTCCTCTCCCAAAAGGACAGTCAAGATCTCAGATGGTCTGGTCTGTGCTGTCTTGAACATGTTGAGTTTTCTACAAGCTGAAGGGTATGAACTCCTGGCACACCTGGGCTTAAAGATGTCACCATGATTATCAGCCAAGACAAAAACTGGGGGCTTCAGCCTTGTTTTAAGGGACCAGCACACAACCTGGCCTTGGAGAGCCAAGACAGCAACTGTGAGCACAGATCATGGCTACAGCAGTAAAATCTCAGCACCTTCCCCAACAATTTCACCAGACCTGCTGTTCCCTCTCCATCCTACCCCACGGGTGATGTTTGTCCACCTCCTAAAAGTCCTGGAGTACACAGGTCCAAACAGACCCACACATGCTGTCCTGGGGCATACATGCCAGGGTGGTGGGCAGCAAAACACGGGCAAGCAGGGTGCAGGTCTGCTTGCTTTTTGGCCACCAGCCGCAGGGAGAATCCCACTGGGAAGTGCGCTGAGCACGGTCTTGCTGGGACCTCACCCTCCTACAGAGGCAACCACTGGGTGGGTGCAGGTGTGTCTTCCCCCCCACCCTGGCAGGAGACTACTCGGTTAGGAATGCAGCTCTGGCTTTAGAAGACAACGTTTTCACAACACCCCCGCTGGTCTAGGTGGTTGTTGCAAGGAAAGAGAGTTGAGACATCGGGGCAAAGTGTTTGTCTTCACATCAGTTTGTGATTCAGAGGAAGAGCTGGGGAGGAAAAGAGAGGTGTGCCTATTCCTGCCAGCCTTACAGTTAGAATTTGGGTGCGTTTTACTTTCAGCAGCTGGTCCTGCCCTCCCAGGTGAGAGGAAAGGCAGAAAACTTGTCTCCGTCTGGAAGAAATAAAATAAACACAGGAGGAAAATGAGTGGGTCGAGAAGGGTCACAAAGGGTGAGAAGAAACTACTGATGCAGCCAAGTGTTGCATGCACCCTGCCTCACTCACAGGAGAGGATCCATCAGGAGAATCGCTTAAGAGAGCGAGAAATTCTTTCAGGAGTGAGCCAGAAGTAAGAAAACAGCCAAGCAGACCATCCCAATTCCCAGCAGCCTATGCCTCTATCACCTCACCTCTGGAGAAATAGCACTTAGCTGCCCATTTTGATAGTTTTCCTTGTTCATGTCTCCGCATCAGCTAAAGAGCTGCAAATGAGCTGCTACAGGTCTTTGGCACGGGTCAGATGTCTCAGGTGTCTGACATGATTTCCCCCCCATCCCAGACAGACCCTGAACGGATGCAAACTGCCTCACGTGCTTTCAGATTTAGGAATTTGGAAACCATATAAAGATTACACATAGAAATTAACCCATGGGAAAATAAGAGCAACAAGGTACCCTAAACAATCTTCCACTGATACAGAAGTCTCTGCCTAATCATTTATAAACAAGTTTCGCAGACAGTTCCAAGCTAATCAGGCTCTTCTGTCTGCATTTCAGTGCTTGGGAAATTATTGAATAAATTCAATCTTAGCCAAGTCAGCAGGAGTCATAGAACAAGAGGAGTGCCCGGAAAAGATTTGACAACGAAGCACTATTTTCTGCTTTCTTACACTTCTTGTGTACACAAAACAATCTTGCTCATGGAGACCTGCCGCTTTACCAACTGATATTTGCTGCATATTCAGCTCATCTTGATGATGCAAAAATTTTTCTGACTGATCCTAATTAGCTCCCTGCTTCACCACGTCATTACAAAAGGCTACATCTCATGGTTCGTTTCCTTTCAAAACTTCAAGACCGGGTCCTTCCTGGTATCAGTCCACTCCCTTTGTGGGTTTTTGTGTGGGAATGAATCAAATTTTTTTTTTGTGATTGCTTGACTTTTACATCCTTCACTATCTTAAGCAGTATCGGACACCTGGCTTCTGTATATGTCTCTTCTCCTGTACGAATTACAGGGAAAGTTGAGGGCTAAAGCATTTATTGGTTTCTCAGGACCACTGAGCTCCCTCTTAAAGATGTCTTCTGGAATGATCATTGGTTTTTCTCACTCAGCTGATGAATCTGAACGTGATTAGAGAGAGGGATGATATGTAAGACGTAAAGGAAAGCTGGGAATTGCCTAAGAGCTGCAAGCAGTGAGCAAAATGATTATATGCTGTGAGGTGTTACATGTAATTGCTTCTGTTTGGAATCTAATCGAACCCCACGCACAAAGGATGTCTCAGATCCTCCAGGCTATCCGAGCAGCGGTATAAAAGCACATGCTGCTCACACCTCTCCCAACAGCTTCTCCTGACTTCTCCTCTGGAACTTGAGTAAGTTTTCAATCCTTTGAGCCTTTTTGATGCACTCTTTTAACCATAACTCTGCTTGAATCTGACATAAAGGTCTCCCACAGCACTGACAGGGCCAGTCTCTGTAAAAGCAGCTGAGGGATCTTGGGGCTGGCATTATCCAGCTTCTTGGGGGACTACTGCAGTCCTTGGCAAGCGCTTCAGGGATTCATGACTTTTAGTTCTTAAAGCTACCACACATGTGGGTTGCAGCCTTTCCTTGGCTTTAGTAGAAGGTGAAGCTCAGTTTTGAAGCCCTGTGTAACAGGTGAGCCTATAAATCCTGTCCTACAGGTTAACTGCTGAGAAAAGGGGGCTGGCGAGGTGACCACTGGTCTCATGAAGTACAGAAGTGTTTGTGCTCCTTTACAAGAGAACACAACTGAAGCAAGCACAGCTGAGGATATAGCTCTTTGGGATAAGTTCTGATATATTATGGATAGATATTTCAAAAGCAGAGGTTGATGTAGACAGAAAGGTTAGGAAGATTTGAGAGTCTGGCAAGGACAGAAGAGTAACTCAAGCAATGTGACTAAAAGGTAGAAGAGTGTACCAGGAGCTACGAAGCCACATCATCTCTGTCCAGGAAGATACTCAAGTGGGTCTCTTCCTCATCGAACCTGTTCGAGTGCCTGAATGTTTGAGTGCCAACTGCCCACTGAATTGCTTTACAGAGTCTTCTGTCTTTCCATGTTTCAGATTTGCTTCCACTACAGAACGATGTCCTCCTACAGACAGCTGTGCAGCTACCAATGCTCCACACCGTGCGAGGTGACCTGCCCACAGCCTATCGCCAACGCCTGGAACGAGCCCTGTGTCACATCATGTGGTGACTCCAGGGCGGTGGTCTACCCACCCCCTGTTGTCATCACTTTCCCTGGGCCAATTCTCAGCTCCTGCCCTCAGGAAAGCGTAGTGGGATCCTCAGCCCCAGCTGCCATTGGGAGCTCTCTTGGCTGCGGGGGAGCTTATGGCTACAGAGGCTCTTTTGGCTACGGGGCCTCACTAGAAAGCAAGTTCTCATACCCTTATTGTTCTCAGAGGTTCAGTGGGTATCGCTCTCGGAGGTTTGAGCCCTGCCAAACCCAGCAGGACTATACTTGCACCAAGAGCAGTCAGGACACTGAATGCAAGATCCAAACTCAAGAGTGAGATGGGGTTTTAAGATGCTGATATGAAAAGGCTGATTCTTGCTAACACTTTATGTTGAATTTGTGCTTGTACCTACTTATATGCTTCTCCTTGCTTAGCTATAGATGTGTTCTATTCATCTCATGGTCCAAATTTTCAAAGGCATTAATACTCCTTTTTCACTCAACCCAATAACATTATACAAGAAGCATAATGGAAAAGTTTGTGTACTGTGACTTCTGCTTGACACTGCCCGATGTCAATCAAGAGTGATGTTAATAGATGAAAACTGGACTGCATCATCCAACTCCCAGCTATGAAAGCAGAAAAGAACACTGTGTTTGAAGTGAAGCTTCCTAAACCAAGAAACCTCACTTGTAAAAACCTCTAATGCCTTGTTTGATGTATGATCATGTCTTGCTTTTGTAACTTTTCCTCCTCTATTGCCCATTAAAAAAAAAGTCACGTTGCATCATAATTTCAGCCTTCTGGTTTTGATTTCTATCTGTTTTGATGAAATAACTCAGTGAAATGATTTTCCTGCACAAAGTGTTGGTGCTTCCATCCTAGATAAGCCCTGTAGTGAGAGGGAAGACCTTAGTCACTCAAACCCACCTCATCCGTCCTCTGCTCCCCAAGAAGTTTTCCCTGATTTAGACCTCATACCACAACACCAGTTCACAGTGATGGAAAATTACTAGAGACAAAAAAAAAAACCAACAACACAGGGACCTGAAGGGAGGCTTAACATTAGTTTCATGTCCAGATACATACATGCAACAAGAGAGTGTAGGGCACTTACTGGAAAGCTGCAGCTGGCCAAGCACATCCACCACAGCATAGGTAATATCCATCTGTCCATAGTAAGACATAGTTTACTGCATCTTCATTGCACGTTCTATCTTCCTCATTTCTGTTTTATTAAAACACTGCAGTAGTCCAGATCTGGAATTCCACCGAGGTGCTCAAAAAAGGGCAGAGGCTCTGCAGGACTCAG